CGAAGTCTATTCACCTGAATGGTGAAATATTACTAACAACATCTATTATGAAACTGCTACTCTGAACTGTTTGAGTCACAGCAACATGTGAGAGGGGCAGATAGAGGAGGCATTGCCACCTGTCCTATTACGGATACCTACGCACACATATGCATGCTTTTGGTATTGTCAAAACAATGTATGAATCATTCTTAATCTACAAAGAATTATGAAACCACTTTAGATCAAATGCCCCTTGTGCAGTACAATCTTAGATCTTCTCTTAAAGGACCACTATAGTTTTCCTGGCACTATAGTGCCCTGAGGGTGCCCCCACCTCTCCTCCTCCTCTCCGCCTCCGATCCTCCTCTTCGGCTGAATGCGCATGCGCGGCAGGAGCTGCACGTGCATTCAGCCGGTCTCATAGGAAAGCATTCATAATGCTTTCCTAGGGACGCTGGCGTCTTCTCACTGTGAAAATCACAGTGAGAAGCACGCAAGCGCCTCTAGCGGTTGTCAATGAGACAGCCGCTAGAGGAAATAGGGGAAGGCTTAACCCATTCATAAACATAGCAGTTTCTCTGAAACTGCTATGTTTATGAAAAAAATGGGTTAACCCTAGCTGGACCTGGCACCCAGACCACTTCATTAAGCTGAAGTGGTCTGGGTGCCTAGAGTGTTCCTTTAATGTTAAATGACTTTAGTAAAAAAGGGAAGGAAAAAAGACAGATGTAGGAATTAACCATACACATGTCCATTTAAAAATTATATTCGTTACATGTTATCATACCCTTTGCAATGTCAGTAACTCAGCAAGGAATGGTTTACATATAAGGTATAAAGTGCACAGTTCCAATGAGGGGCTTGTGTTGGAACTTTCATACAAAAATGGTGTTGTTTGTACGTAAAATCCTAGCATCTACTGCTTACACAATCAGGTTATGAGAAAATGTCACTTTACTTAAAATAGCTTTTTCTTAATGGACTGGTCTCAACAGAATCCATGTAATAATAAATAGCGGATTCAGTTATTACTGTATTTCAGTTTAGAGATTCCTGTTAAACCATCTTATCTGATGTCCCCTGGGAGACCTTTCACTGACAGGGATGGGCCACGTGTTACCCTTAATAGACTTCATTAACCCCTTAAGGACCAAACTTCTGGAATAAAAGGGAATCATGACATCTCACACATGTCATGTGTCCTTAAGGAGTTAAATGGGCTTTTTGTACTCTGTAAGGATGCCTCATTCAAACAGCATTGTGTAGTCATTAACCATAGAGGTGTGCACATGGTGCATCAGGTGCACCCAGACAAACGCTAAATGTTCTTTCTGTCCTCTGTTTAGGTTTCTATGCCACTTTAATCATTTTTTTTTTTTTTTTAAAGCAAAGCTTACATGGTATTTTTCACTCAAATGCAATGTGCTGCGCAAGCCTATGTTATTGATATCTCACTATAGCAGAAAGTATTGGTTGTTTTTCATTTTTACTATATTATATGTCGCGCGTAGCTCTACTTAACAGAAAGGACGACTGGAACTATCAACAATCTGATAACAGGAGAAATACTTTCTACTTGTGCTTGTGTGAGGTGTTTGCATGCTGTATGCACAAATTAGATGAAATTGACACAGATATAGAGGAAGTAAAATAATTATTTACTTTCTGTATCAAAGTTGTAGCATCTCGTTTATAGATGCAGTGATTTATTTTTTACAAATTACTACAATAATAAGCCTCGCTCAGCAGTGGGTTCACGTTGTACCTCAAAATTTGCAATGATGTAAAACTGGTATAATGCTAATAATGGTACCACAACAAAAAATATCTACCAAGGCACAAATAAAAACACATATAGGGCAATACAGTTTATACACCGATCTTTTTTCACTCACAAAATTATGATAATGATAGGCATTTCAGTTTGCAGGCAGTTCAATTCCCAGATATCTTCAAATGAAAACTTACCTTCTTAGATGCAGATGTGATGCAGAATATGTGGAGAGGACGGGAAGGAAAGCTAGAGTTAGATGTTTGGAACATTTAAACAATGTTAAGAAGAATTTAGAGTTGAATTCTGTACCATGCCACTGTAATAAATATCCAAAATTTAATTTTCAAAGTCTCTCTTTTACCATGGTAGACCAGGTCAAGTTAGACGATAGGGCTGGGGACCTGATGATGAAGTTAAGAAGGAAGGAAGGTCACAAACTACAGACATTACAACCGATAGGGTTGAATGTCGGTTTTGGTTGACTTTGAAATAGATTGTTCTAAAATAATTAGAGGACCACTATAGTGCCAGGAAAACATACTCGTTTTCCTGGCACGATAGTGCCCTGAGGGTGCCCCCACCCTCAGGGATCCCCCCTCCCCCCCGCCGAGGAGAGCTCTCCAGCGCCGGACGGGGAGCTCTCCTCCTCTTCGGCTGAATGCACATGCGCGGCAGGAGCGGAGCGCACACGCATTCAGCCAGTCCATAGGAAAGCATTCACAATGCTTTCCTATGGACGCTGGCGTCTTCTCACTGTGATTTTCACAGTGAGAAGCACGCAAGCGCCTCTAGCAGCTGTCAAGAGACAGCCCTTGGAGGCTGGATTAACCCATTTATAAACATAGCAGTTTCTCTGAAACTGCTATGTTTATAAAAAAAAAAAGGGTTAACCCTAGCTGGACCTGGCACCCAGACCACTTCATTAAGCCGAAGTGTTCTGGGTGCCTATAGTGGTCCTTTAAGTTTTTTTTTTATTTCGGTTGTGTAGAATACGTCTTTCTTGGCTTCTTCTCCATCCCCATCTGTAGGCTTTTTTTTCTTTTTGCACTTTTAAATTTTTATATATTTATATGTATACTTTATTTCTACACTTTTTGTAAATATAATTTTTTTTTTTTTTGCAGTGCATTTAGAATAACAGACTCGCATGGTGTACCCCAAAGGCAATCCTCATGCTATTCAAACATTCAGTACAGTGGAGTATATAGTGGAACTTGCACAATTTTTGATAAGTAGTGAAATTATGTTTTACAAAGTTGCATGTCAGATGTTTAGTTATGTAATAAGCTAACCGTCTTGTACATTGCTTGCTAAATAGTTATGTATATCTGCGTTAATGGTATACAGCATTGTTGAATACAAGAGTGAGGAGTACAATACTCAGTCGTTTTACTAATGGCTTGTCTAATAACCTAGGTTAAATGTTAGGGATGAGACACTAATTAACATAGGTGCTTCCTAAGGCTGTTAGTATGTAAGTTTAACGGTATGCTGTATAATAGAGCTCAAGATGTAGACATGCTAGTGTTAAATGGTGTTTGTACGATCATTATATCACCCTGGCTGGATTAGAGTTCTTGGGTTGGTTTGCGTTCCAGGGCTTTTCAGCTTGGAGGGCCCGTGCGGCCGGGTACGAGTGTCCGCTGGTGCGGGGGATCGAGCAGCGCCCCACCGGGAGTGTTGCTGTGTTGCTTGTTGGTGTCTTTTGGGCTGCTTCTCCGGCTGGCCATGGGTACCTCTTCTGGACTTCCTGAGGTGAGCGCCTGTCCCGAGGTGAGCGCTGGATGAGCCCGCTGTTATGGTCGTTGGTGATCAGAAGGTGTGTGTGGGTTGCAAATGTGGTCGGCCTTGCTGTGGGAGTTCTTTGGTCTGTTGCGAGGTCGGCAGTCTCTGGTGGTGGAAGGTCGGGTGCAGTGTGGGCCGGGTCCACTGTCCTTGTGGCTCGGGCCAGGCCTCCTCCGCTGCTCGCCTGTGGCGAGGTCCGTGCAGTGGGCTGGTAAGTAGTCGCTTGTGGGGTTGCGGTGTCCAGTGTGAGGAGCTTGAGTTCTTCTGGCCCCCTGGGCCCTTGTCCAGATACCCATTTTGTTGCTCTACTCCCTGCGAGGGCGCACTCCCTCTCCCTGGCCCCAGTACACATGGCATCTGCCATCTTAGATGTCATGTTCAGGCCTATGAGTGGGATGGTGGTGCCTTTGGGCCCTGGATGTGTAGCCTCTGGGTGAGGACTGGGATCACCCCCGCCGGTCCATGGGGGGAAACAAGGCCACGACCACCCGGGTCTTGATCTCCAGCTTGGTAACTTTAGGCAGGATAGTGGGGCAGCGGTCGTCTGCCCCTCTCACCGCGGGCATAGGCCCCAACTTGTTCATCGCGGGCTTCGCCTCCTGGGGACTGTTGCTCCGGGAGCCAGCCTCTCCCAGAATTCGGTAACTTTGTTGTTCTGAAGACCCTTGCTGCCGGTCAGTAGTTAGGTCGTTTGCCATATTTTTAAGCTTATTTGTGGGTATATTGCAGGAGCTTGGCGGTCCGGCCCCGCCCCATAAGTATAATTTTTATTCGGTTTTGCAAATCATATATTTATATGTCACATTTAGACATTAGATGATGGGCATCCCTGTCTGAGCTGCACTCACTGCTACCGACCCCCTGTTCCCGAACCCCTCATAGTCCGGGTCAGGTTCACTGGGGTGTGGCGCCTCCATCGCACTGCAGGGCAGGGAAGGGAGGCCGGATGCCCCCAGAGGGTGTGATTGCTTATAGTATTAGTGTGCTGCTGGGAATTATTAAGGGGCGAAAAATGGGGAAAGGAGAGTAGAAGGGAAAGAAAATTAAGAAAGGGGAAAAAAAGAAAAGACAAAAGGAGATTCAAAGATGTGGATTGGCACTTGTCATTTTATTCTACTTAATTTGATATATAATATGATTTAAACCATTCCGTTTAAATTAGATTATAATGCGTTTTGTTAATATTCTATATTTCATAAATACACCATGATGGACTTAATGGAACGTAAGTTCCGTTTGAATGGCACACATGACGATAGCAAAACGGACATCAATCTTAGAAGAAAACTGTAGTTAAAAGAATGAAACGCATATGCATTCCAGTGGCTTTAGTGGATCCAGAAGTTTCAAAGATCGGAGACTGACTCGGAGGACGCAGGGAAGTGACGCAAGTGGAACATAGAAGTGTTCCAATGGAGACGACGGCCATGGAAGCTGGTGAAGTCTGAAGGAGGTCTGACTGATTTAAGATTTAAAATGAATACAGGTAGTTTCCACAAGAGCGGATTGGCCGATGGCGATACGGCAGTGGGACATATTGGGTCTAAACACCCCTTGAATACAGACGGCACGTTATGCTGCATTCACAGTGGACTCTGAAGCTTTTTGCCCCAGAAAAAGCGAGTACTCAGATGAAACGCAAAGCGCTTTATCAGTGATTGATGTTTTTCCATATTACACTACGTTTCTTTTTCTTTTTCCACATGCAAACAGAAGTGCCTATCACTCATAAATTTGTGAGTTTAACCAATAAGTTGAACACATATTGGTATTTAAACTTTATTTGCCCTTTTATGTGATTTATTTTTTGCATTTGTATATATATTTTGTTGTGATACTATATTTATGAGTTCTGAACATATCTACATTGCTACAGTGTGAAAAGGTAAATAGCATTTCACTAAATTGCACTTATTGGATTTACACTGCTTTGGGTGTATGCTGGGTTTGAGTATTTTTGGTATAATGCTAAGACAGACCTGCTGACTATGATAATGGAATAACAGACTCTACTATTGGAATTCAGGCAATGTGGCTGTTCAATTATCAGACATATTTAAGTGTATGCTGCCCCCTAGTGATGAGCACCGTGCATTATCTTGCAAGTCAACTCTGAAGCAGCAGTTTTATGAGATCTACTCATAGTTGCATAAAAATAATTACTAATTCATTATGGTATGATGGAGAAAGAATGTATCAAGCCTAAGCTTCATAAACACTAAATCTTTGGTCAAAATGTAGCTCTGTACACTTTTGTGAACTGTAATATGGAAACACTAAACAAGTGAGAATTACCTATCTCTTTGTTTGTCTATACCGGGGGTAGGCAACCTACGGCACTAGTGCCATGCACAGCACTCAAGGCTGCTAGAGCCAAACAGGCTCTGGCCTATCAGGAGTCCCAGTAAAACCTCAGATAGCTGCTAATACGAAGAGGAGGTGAAGGACAATCCTCCATTTATGCATTTCAGAACGTAGAGTAGAGCAGCCTGCTCTACACTGGAGTAGAGCAGCCTGCAGTTGCTGTTGCAGCTCCTGTCCTTGACCTGTACCTGGCCAGCCTGGTCCCCACTGGAACCCAGGGAAGCCACCTACACTGCTAGATATACACAGAAATGCACAATAACCCTCCCCTCATACAAATAATACGGACAGCCCACACAAACATACACACACACAATCCGCTTAAAGCAACACCACTAACAATCCACATACATGCACACAATCCCACATGCAATACCCCAAACAGTCCCCACACACTACCAAACACACAATGTGACATATCCATCCACACACACACAATTCCACAAGCAGCCCCCATACACAGCCCACATTCATATGTATCATACACAATACCATAAACTACTCCTGAACATATACAATATAATAGCTCGTATACGCACAAATACAACGATACAAAGCAATTACAGTAAAAATAACACAAGCAGAATACGGCAGCATACACACCTCAATTTAAAAAAATAGGACCGGCACGCTACGGGACATCACAATCCTATATCGGCAAAGTGCTGCTAAAAGGTTGCCTACCCCTGGTCTATACTGATTCTGGCAAAACCAGATTTCTTGCATCCTATGGGATAGCTGTTTGTCTTAGTCTGATTTTGTGCATGCTTAAAGAGAAACAGTCACTACTCTGAAACAGACATTTCCTAATTTCCTCATCCCAGTAACATACGAACAGTCCCTATTTTGGGCCTAAACATATCTTTACTTAGTTTCTAGGATCCCCATATTGTTGGTGTGTCTGAGTGGATAACAGATCTCGACAGCAATAATACTCCCAGTAATGTGTCTTTAAACTATGATAAATGTGTTAGAAATCAATCTGTGTAAATAACATACATTGTTCTTGTTCTAAATTACATTTTAGTTGTATAAATTATTAGGAACTCACCTAAAAGTTCTGAGAACAGCCCCACCCCCATTTACACCCCTAAAGTATCCCTCTTTGTGTGTTTGGATGTTGGGAGGTACAGGCGATACTCGAAAAATTAGAATATCATGCAAAAGTTCATTTATTTCAGTAATGCAACGTAAAATGGGAAACTAATATATGAGATAAACGCATTACATGCAAAGCAAGATAGTTCAAGTGGTGATTTGTCATAAGTGCGATGATTATGGCTTACAGCTCATGAAAACCGCAAAACCACAATCTCAGTAAATTAGAATATTGTGAAAAGGTGCAATATTCTAGGCTCACAGTGTCCCACTCTAATCAGCTAAGTAAGCCATCACACCTGCAAAGGGTTTCTGAGCCCTTTTAAATGGTCTCTCAGTCTGATTCAGTAGGAATCACAATCATGGGGAAGACTGCTGACCTGACAGTTGTGCAGAAAACCATAATTGACACATAAAATGTTCCCAAAGTGCCGTATCAAAGCACATTAATAGAAAGTTATGTGGAAGAAAAAGGTAAACAAGCAGCAGGGATGACCGCAGCCTGGAGAGGATTGTCAGGAAAAGGCCATTCAAATGTGTTGGGGACTTTCACAAGGAGAGGACTGAGGCTGGAGTCAGTACATCAAGAGCCACCATACACCGACGGATCCTGGACATGGGCTTCAGATGTCGTATTCCTCTTGTCAAGCCGCTCCTGGACAACAAACAACGTCAGAAGCGTCTTACCTGGGCTAAAGAAAAACAGACCTGGTCTGTTGCTCAGTGGTCCAAAATCCTCTTTTCTGATGCAACTTTTGCATCTCATTTGGAAACCAAGGACCCAGAGTCTGGAGGAAGAATGGAGAGGCACACACTGCAAGAAGCTTGAAGTCCAGTGTGACGTTTCCACAGTCTGTGTTGATTTGGGGTGCCATGTCATCTGCTGGTGTTGGTCCACTGTGCTTCATTAAGTCCAGGGTCAACGCAGCCGTCTACCAGGAGATTTTGGAGCACTACATGCTTCCTTCCGCAGATGAGCTTTATGGGGATGCTGACTTCATTTTCCAGCAGAACTTGGTAACTTGGAGACATGAGACCGAACAATTTTACCCAACCCCATATATATTTTTATAAATTTTTTCTTAGTATTTATTTTCATTCCTTTTATATGTGTTTACCTTTTTACATTTTTTTATTTACATCTATATATTTTTATACTTTCATATTTTTACCCTGCATTATATATTTATTATTGGCTCTTTTTTATTGCAGTATTTTGTCCCCTTTCTTTCCCCATCATACTAGCGCATGCACTAGTCATCGTCAGGCACCCATGGGGTATGTGCGCAGAGGACGCTTACTGCGCATGCAGTTTTTACTCCCCATTACATGCATGCCAACACATGCACTCTGCGGGACATCAGAACGCATGAGTCAGCCATTTTTTACCGGACACCATTGCATGAGTCCTCTGATGCAGAAGTGAGTTCGCGCGTCACATGAAGCTCTTTCCTTTTTGTGTTTTTTCTCATGTTTAACTTTTTCGTTTTGTATTATAATACATGTATTACACACTCTTAACATTAACTCTTGATACACAATAAAAATATGTTTTTATTTATGATTTTTCTGTAATGTCGCACTGTGATGATGTCATTTTAGCGCCAAAAGTCAAAATACTGGTCTGTTTATCTCTATATAAACCTATGTTTGCCATTAAATTCTACTTGATAAAGCCTAGTGAAATGTGAAACGCATCGTAGAAGATTTTTTAATTTATTTTATTAATAAAGGACTATTGGCTACTTTATGCTATACCTTTGCCATACTACTTTTATTTATTTTACACTTTTTATCTACTGGCATCCTGACCATCAACTCCAGGGAGAATCTCACCAAGAATCCAGGGTGGGGATCATACTACCTGCGCCCTATACTTCGAGCAGTGAGTCTGCTCGACCATATGAGAGTACAAAACTTGTACTTTATTACTTCTGGATTTTATAAATAAAGAGAGCACTATTTTCTTCCTTTTTTTCTGTTTTATACTACCTTGGGCTTCATCAATGACACCATGCTGAGAGACCTTAAAATATTCCACCTACCCATATATCCTAGAAGTGGGGATAATACCAATCTACGCTGTTTATGCCAAAGCTGGCCTTAGCTTCTGTAAATGTGAGTAGGACTTATTTACTATTTATACAGTTCTTACATTTATAATATACTGTACCATTGGATTTTTTCCTCTGTTCTCTCTACATATGTACACTTGGATTTCAAGCCACACGTGACCCAGAACCCCATCATCTATCTCTATCAAGATTCGGCTGTTCAGATACCAGTGGTATCCGATTACATTTCTATTTTTAGTTGGACTTTTTTTTTACTGTCGACTCCTTTTATTTTTATTATCAGTTTTTACCTTTTCAGTATATACTTTTATATTTATTTTAATTATTGGCGCCACCTTCATTTTTGCTTCTCTTTGTTTCCATAACTGTGTAGGGTCTGTGAGGGAACCCTATTCTTTTATGTGTGCTGCCTTTCATATTTTCCCTTTGTGGATTCTGTGAGCGCTGATCTTCTGTTTTCTTTTATACTTGTACTTAATATTCAGAAACATATTTTAATTTTGAGATATATATATATATATATATATACATACACACACACACAAAGTTAGATCCAGAAAAATGTGGACACTGACACATGTTTTGTTATTTTGGCTGTTTACCTAAATAAATTGCACTTAAATAATGAATATAGGCTTGAAGTACAGTCTCTCATCTTTAATTTGGGGGCATTCACATCGAAATTGCTATTTAATATGTAGCCCCCCCCCCCTTTTTTTTTTCCAAGGGTCCAAAAGTAAACTGAACAAAATTATAAACGCAACACTTTTGTTTCTGCCCCCATTTTTCATGAGCTGAACTCAAAGAGCTATGTACACAAAAGTCCTATTGCTCTCAAATATTGTTCACAAATCTGACAAAATCTGTGTCAGTGAGCACTTCTCCTTTGCCGAGATAATCCATCCACCTCACAGGTGTGGCATATCAAGATACTGATTAGACAGCATGATTATTGCACAGGTGTGCATTGGGCTGGCCACGATTGGGGGGTCCAAAAACCAATCAGTATTTGGTTTTATATATATATATATATATAAATAAATAAATAAATATTAGCATTGCTTTTTCTCTTAAAAGGCAGTGTTTACAGCAAAAAGTCTGCAGGGACCAGAAAAAAAATACAATGCATTGTACATGTTCTCATGACTTAGTGTTCTTTTAACCCCTTAAGGACACACGACATGTCATGATTCCCTTTTATTCCAGAAGTTTGGTCCTTAAGGGGTTAAGAAAATAAATAAAAAAAATAGAAATGGATTAAAAAAAAAAATGTCTTATCTAGAAACTAAATAATATTAGAACTGAGGAAACACAAAACAATACAGATATATAATTATGTACATTGGAGTCTGGAAACATCTCGAAACAGAGAATTTTCTAAAGGTTTGCAATGAAGGAATAGAAATGAAATTTTACAAGCACTTGGGAAAGGGGGGGTGATATTTGGAAGAGCTCCTGTATACATACTTACAGGAATTTGATCAGATGTCAGCAGAATTTGAGTAAAGGCTGTTAATGCATTGTAACCTTGTTCAATTCTTTTCTCTGTACAAATGTAATCCTTACTAATTGTTTTTTTTTTTTTTGGTTCTTGATGTTTCAAAACATTTTAATAGGATAACATGAGTATCAAGGTCAGATCTGAGAACCTTTCCTGTGCAAAACATATTGAGAAAAAATAAAAAAACTCACAGCTGGCTTAATACGGTGTAACCTTTCACTTTAGCCGGTCCACACTGGTAGACTGAAAGTTGTGGAAGCATGTTAGATCACCCCTGTCAGGTCATCAAACGTATGAGGTGTTCCTTGAACGTTCCATATTCAATCAAATTGTTTTGAAGTGTACCCACAGACTGTCTGCACCATAACCACTATAATTAACTAAATTACCAAGTCAGTTATATGGGTAATACGGTTTGTCATTTTTAAAATGGAGAGTTTGCAGTGGATTTTAATACATGTCACTAGCCACATCAAAGACCAGGATGTCTAGAATAATGCCTATAACCCAAAAAACAAGGGGAAGGAAGATAGTACAATAATCTTACTCCTGAGCGGGGGTTAACCCCTAGTGCAACGAAATGCACTATAAAACTAAACAATAAGGAAGGGAGACAGGAGAAGGGACAGGATGAATGATAGAGTGTCCTGCAGAGTGGTAGTTGCCTCGTTATAGAGGGGTGACATTAGGATAGGTTGGGCTCGGGGAGATCCCAAAAGAGGAAAGATAATTAAAACTTCACTTTTAATGTAAATAGTGAATACAAATTACAAATTTTAGTTCAAATAACTGTTGTAAGAAATCCTCAAGTGATACAGAGTGAAATGCCACTGTGGGAACAACAGCTACAATTTAGTAGTGTCAATAATGTATCGATATACCAGTATCCGGGCTCAAGGAAAAATAGTGCAACGATGTGCAGCTCACTGGGATCACCTAGCAGCTACAAACTATGCTCATTTGTGTTTGTCGACAATGTTGGACTATTTGGAAATACTGAAACTATTCCGATGAGTGGGAACTTACTAGGCAGCTGGTTGGGAGAAACAGGAGTTGAGTGACAACACGTACACATTGCCCCATTCAAGGTTTTACATTTTCTAGGTCCAAATTACACTTATTCACCAGTAGGATACCTTTCCCATTGTAGTCCAAAAGAATATAAGAGGAAAAATATATATTTTTTCTTTTCAGGAATAGATTTTTACAAGGCCTCTTTCAAATTAAACCTAGCAGATATACATGCATTAATGCAATTAAAGGTTTTTTAATTAAGAAAAGCTTTAAAAAGTTTATCAAGAAACTAAAAATAAGTTAAAAAGAAACAAAAAAGGATTTTAATTGCGATCATTTAACAAGAAAGACACCATAAAACAATGACAAGTTACCTAAAAACATGTTTATCATGGAGAAGAAAACAAAAGCTATTTCTGACACTGTTCTGATTTAAAAAAAAAAAAAAAAAAAAAAGACCCACTAGAGACTTTTTAAAGGGTTATTCGCTAATCTGTGAAATGACCAGGAGAATTTAAAACATAAAAATAAACATTTATAAACTTAACCAGATTGCATCATTGGTCATGCCTCAGCTAGGGAAGGTTCCCTCCTACCCACTGTGACAGTAGTAATTATCACTGGAAGAAGGACGATTTGCAAAGGTTCCTAAATTGCTCGTATGTCTAAGTCACCCTGTGCCCATTATAGGTGCAGAGTGTTTATAATGTGTTTGAATACGGTTAATTGTTTTGTGTGCTCTCCTGTCTTGCTGATGCATGTTACCAACTAAGTGGATTTGGCTATTAAGCTTGCATAGTGCCCTCTGGTGGTAGCAACAGCTATATGCACTACCTGAATAGGAAGGCTTGTTAATTTGCATATTTAGGTAGATTTGCATACTGCTAATTCTGCAGGCAGGAGATATTTTGTGTAAAATATTATCTTACCCATCTCTTTATAAATATATTATAATTCCCTGTATGTTTTGGTTATTTGTATTTGATTAATTTTGTCACAACATGCTTGATGTAGTAAGCATATATGCTAGTGCCAAGTAAAATAAAGGTTTGCATGTTAGTTCCTTTTGGAACTGGGGACTGTTCCATGTGGGGACTGTTAGAGATCCTAGTCACAGAGTTGTTGTACCTGTTGGCTGGCTGCCCAAACCCTCTAACCCAGGGGTGAATCAAGAGAGCTAGGCCTCAGAGCCACAAGTGCCTTTACAAAGGCAATAGCAAGCACTATAAGCAGAGCTGCAGAGGAATAGGCAGAGGGGACAATACCTACCTGGAAGAAGGGCTGCAGCGGAATAGGCAGAAGGGATAATACCTGCCTGTAAGAAGGGCTGCAGCAGGATAGACAGAGGGGACGATACCTGCCTGGAAGGAGATCTGCAGCCTGGTAGGTGGAAAATCTCCAGAGAGACTCCAGTCAAGCCTCGGTGACTGGGGTTTAAGCGCTTCAGACTTCCTCCCCAACGGCTAGGAAGCGCATTGGGCAGAGGTACTTGGTCGGAATCCAGGAGCTCGGTCACACCCACCCATCTCCGTTTTGGACCAGTCTACTAATGGCAGAACCAGGGTATAATTGTGCAACAGCAGGAGAGAGAAAACCGAAACTGGAGCCTGCTCTGCACAATGGCATGGATCAGACTCGCTCCTTCTCTCTCTCTCCCCCCCGTGAGGATGTTGCAAGATGAAGAGCTTCCAACTGCACATGTGTAAATCTGTCAAGCATGCCCAAAGCACTTTTCCAGCATTACCAGGTGTATAACACTGATTGGATTGAATTGGATCAGTGTGTCTCCTGGAGAAGGTGTGGAAAGCATAAGAAAGGAGCAGCAGTGAAATATGGGAGGGGAATTCAGATTTCCTTTTTTCAGCAAAGGTCTCATTCAAAGCTAAAATGCTGATGCAGGTCCCTTTAAATGCATCTGGCACACTGCAAGTAGTAATGGCACTTAATACAGAACTTCATACAAACAATATAAAGAATTCAGTTGGTACATGTACTTAATGCACTTTTCAATACAGTAATTGTATACATAAAAAAATATCAATTTTAAGTATTTATTGCTGCTAACGAAACATAGTTCCTATTGACACACAGATACTGTATGATAAGCATTTTAGGTTGAGAGCAGCTGTAGTGATGCAGGTTACCATCCCTGAGAGGTACACTATTTGTCTTTGGATTCTTTCATATAAAATTCTGGAAATTTTACTTTAATTCAACATTACAAAACATAAAATGCACTTCGTCCACATTCGTTCCAGAAATTAATTTAAAGAGACAGTATCAGAAACATAATTATAGATACACACAGCACAGTGCATATGTATTTGTAAAATGACATAAGTGCGGTGTTGGCTCTTATATAAAATGCAATAATGACTAACAGTGACCAAAGTATAAAGTGTAGTGTTAAAAAAAATAAAAATAATAATAAAGTTGCATAAATGCATTAGACAGCAATAGCGTCCAAGATTATTGTTGAAGGATTCCAACAAAATTAAAATCACACAATTTATTTTTTCACTCTTGCTTCACAGAGGTATAAATATAATTGTTCAAATACCTCCTTATGGGACATTGTGAGGAGCCTGATAGCATTTCTCCGAAAGCATCTATCTAGACTGTAAGCTTATTTGAGCAGGGCCTCTTCACTTTTTGTCTCTGTCAATACTATTGTGTAGGTTAAATACTTGTTGCAAAATATCCCCATTTTAGAATTGTAAAGCACTGCGCCATGTAAATCTAATAAGATGAATCCAATTACTCCTTAATTTAAGGTCAGCATGTAAATGTAAACTGCACAGTAGTTATATCAAAGCATCTGTAAAGTACAGAATAGCGTTATTAAAGCAATTCCAGCAAACAAATACACAAAAACAAGTCCTGCGCTCAAACTCCCGCTACTCCAGGGCGGCAGCAATGACCATAGTACACATCAGACCCAATATATACAGCAAAAAAACTAAATAAAAGTTACTTGCGCACTACCCCAACCTTGTTACAATGCTGCCGTCCATCCCATAAGTTTCCTATTAAAGGTTAATAAGTATGTAGGGGTATACAAAAAATACCCCTCTGTCTCAGAGGAAGAAAGGTGAATTGTTAGTGTAGGACCCACCTAGAGCTTTGCCTTGACATGGCAGGTGGGCTTCCATCTAATGGCCATTGGAGTGGAACTAAAAACCTCCATTTATGTAAATATGCACAGGGATTTGGAATAGTAGTAACTTTTTCTTAGTTTTTTTTTTTTATTCCACCAAACAAGTTTACAGAATAGGACTACCACCATGTAAGGAATATGGATAGGACCCAACTACAAATGCACCACCGAATCTAAACCAAACACATTCAGAGCTGCAGCAGAGAGTGGAACAATGTATCTCTTGGCTGCATCTCTGAAATAAGCACTTTGAGATGAATTGAACACGAAAGGGACAGCAACATGCTAGGACCACATGGCAAGAAAGCCCCATGGACCCAATACAGTGACCCCAGACAACCCGATTGAAATGATATGGCTGGACCTTAAGGGAGCTGTGCATAAACAAATGAACTGATGAAACACTGTAAAGAAGAGTGGGCCCAAATTCCTCCACAATGATATGAGAGACTGAAATTCAAACAGAAAACGGTAACTTCAAATTACCGCTGCTAAAGGTGGTTCTACAAATTATTGTATCATAAGGAGTACTTTGTTTTGCCACATATGGCTTCTCCATTGTGGCTTTATTTTTGTTAAATAAATCATGACCGGGTGTAATATGTCATGTATTGCTGTTCATCGGAGGTTCTATTTACCTAATTTTAAGATCTGCTAAAGAACAGATGATGTTTACGATGCCCTGATACGTAAAACAATCAAATTCAAAGAGTGTACTTTCTCCCCCCCATATGACTATTTATTTTATAATTTATTTCCATACTATGAAAAGAGGTGTGCCTGAAACACCCACATTTTCTGCCTCCCACTTATTAGAAAAAAAAAAAATAGAATTAAAATACTGCAGCAGCAAAAATAAAATAAAATCTAAAAAAAAACACATTTAAAATGAAATTTAACTACATTAGTTTTTATTTGGATCCATCCTGAAATACTATTTTGGGGGGGAACAAAATTATTGTATTAATAAATAAAAATGGTTAAATTCAGAAATGACAAGATCCTGTCAAATGGCTTTTTAAAAAAAAAATGTATTTTGGAATGAAACGCATTTTCTTGCGGTACTCAGTAAATTGTATAAGAGCGTACAATTTTTTGTGATACTGTCCCTTTAAATGACATTCTGCAATCACACAATTAGACCGCATTCATAAAACAATAGCACCTTGTTATAGGGTTTGTCTAGCATTGCAACAGGTTGTGCAGCCTGTGAAATAGAAAGGACACTTGTATATACATTGAGATCATCAGAAGTGGGTGAACCATCTTCCAAAAACATGGGAAATCCCATGGGAAACATAGGGAGAAATTTTTTTTTTTTAAAATGCACTAAAAATAAAACCATTAAAACAGTTTCTAACAGTTACTGCACCACAAATGGCAAGCAACAGAAGGAATGTTGTCATTAATTTTGGTTCCATCATAGTATATCAGAAGTCACACTTAACCAAACTGGATAGATGGAGACATGCTTATAACACAGTCCAGTAAGTAACAATTTTTGGGTCCACTTCATGGTGCCGCATACTATTGCATACTTCATTACAGTAGAAAGTCCAAAAACGGAGTGTTCTGATTCCACAACAGTTTAGGAACAATGATTCGGATAAGATCACTTAAAGTCTTATCCGTGATCTCTCACAGCTGACATAAATACAAATAGTAATATATTCATAGGTTGCACACCTAGAATGTCCAAGAAAGATATCTGGAACCAACAATATAATTCAATATTTCAGAAGCCAAATTTCAGCCTGGGTCACTTGCGTCATGGGTGCCAACTAGAATCTTCTTTTGCAGAATAAAATAACCATATCCTTCAAAATGAAATGCCATGGTCTCTACGATGAAGTACGAGAACTATGTTTTGAGGATCACATAAGTTTGTTAAAAAAATAATTTAGGCTTCTTTGTATAAAATTGCATCAGTTAAAACAAAAAAAAGAAATGAGATGTTTACTTTTTTTGTAAAGGCATCATGTCGAAGCAGGTTCCAGGGATGATTGGAAGGGGCAATTGAGAAGGCAGTAGGGTTACAATTTAGTCCATGCGGGTAGACAGTTCTGCAGGAATGTATTGAAGGACAGTGGCTGGTTCTTCAGTTGCCTCTTCTTCATCCTTCATTGCACTATTGTCAAGCCCCTGGTTAGTCCTTTCCGGTTCCGCACTGTACGTTGCAGTGCTACAGTACATAATGAAACCCACCATGATGACAACAAATGCCAGAATGTAAAGGACAGAAAACTGCAAGGTAAGATTACAAAGCAATTAGAAGGGCATTGCAAAATGTACATTCCTTAACATGAATGGGTCAACATAACAGAATTTGTTTAAAATTTGTTTTATACTAGTGCTTAAATTTTTTTCTGTTTTTATTCATTTATATACACTATTGTATATTGAGTTTAATCTTTCTTTATCTTATCTTAAGTAGACTAACCTGACCTGCTATTTCTAAGAGTAGAGATTTACTGGAGACAGACTTTAGTATTACATGCCCTTTAAACGTTATCAAAAAGAAAACCAAAAAAAAGGTCAGCAGGATTATTCTGTAGAAATGCAGATAAAGGCAAGAACATGAATATGATTGCAGAACTGTTGCTTTGAAACATAATATACAAAAAGCAGCAACAGATTTCTCCATGCTACTAAAAACAGATTCCCCTGGAAGCATAAACGTTACTCACCGACTAGCAAATAAAATGATTTACGAAAAAAGTTTACATTGTGACACAAGCTAAATAAAAAATAAAAAAATAGTGATTTGTATATTTATTTAAATGGAATATTAAAATGTTAACATCCTCCCCAATTTTCCACCCTAAGCGGGAGGTCCTGGCTAATGTTTGGCACACAAAATGCCAAATGTTTTAAATCCCTTCCATATGGCAAACATGTTTATATTATTTTCATAATGCCATTCCAAACATCGACAAAGTGTGGGAATGAGAAGATACTATTATGGCGATCTCATTGTTGGTGACCAGCTTGTCTCTCCAATCCACATAACCCTCTGTCTGCCAGGTATGAGCGTCTAAAGGACATATCGAAAGAAAAACAGATGGAGAGTACTTTATCACTCATTTAATTTAGCATGGATATTCAGAAAAAGATAGAAGGTGCCCGATGGAAACTGGAATCTAGTTTATGCCCACTGCACAAGGGAACAAACTAAAATGAAGATTATTATTAAAATCTATATTACGCTCTATTTTACATTTGGTAATAACACACATGAATCTCCTCTTTCCCATGACTTTGGTTCAAGCAACATATTGTAGAAAGGAGATCAACACCACACGTTGTGTAAATTAGGACACGGCAAAACTAGAGAAAAAAAACTTAAAAAAAACCCCACCCCTTTAACAATTGCCTGATCCTTGAAGAGTTTGACACCCATTTAGCCTTTTCAAGGATATATGCAATGAGTAGCACACCCACTGGTACATAAAGGGATACGCGTATCACACAGTGTTTGTAGAATAGAAACATAGAATGTGACGGCAGATAAGAACCATTCGGCCCATCTAGTCTGCCCAATTTTCTAAATACTTTCATTAGTCCCTGGCCTTATCTTATAGTTAGGATAGCCTTATGCCTATCCCACGCATGCTTAAACTCCTTCACTGTGTTAACCTCTACCACTTCAGCTGGAAGGCTGTTCCATGCATCCACTACCCTCTCAGTAAAGTAATACTTCCTGATATTAGTTTTAAACCTTTGTCCCTCTAATTTAAGACTATGTCAACAGATAATATGCGACTTACCTGATACTTAAACAAGAAGAGGCCAAAAAAGAGGCTGTAAAGATCCGCAGTGAGGATGCCTAAATTTACAGAGGTGGCACTTGTGAGTCGTATGACGATGGGCATCAAGCTGTAGAGTCCAAACATACAGAGTGCAAAGACAGCAAATAAAAGTCCTGGAACACACAGAAATTGCTGTATCAGTGCATGTTACAAGTCACTCCACAGGGTAAATATCCCAATAGAACATATCCTTTTAGGGCTGATAAGAAAGGAACACTGGAGTATTCTGTAGTGGTTATGATGCCAAGAAGAGTCCTGGGCTCCACCAATGTTTGCTAATAGTTTGATTCCTTAGCTGGGGTCTGTCAGTAGCTTCCATTGGCTTTCCTGTGCCAAGTCTTGGCAAAGAGCATCAGTTGATCGATCACAGAATATGAGCTAAGTCCTGCACTGCCAGCTTCTGACTTTCATTGAGGTAAGAAGTAAAACTACTAGCAAACGGATTTAGATTTGGGGGAGGTGGTGGGGCACCCTTGTGCTGTAGTGGCTATAAAGAAGCAGGGGAGGCCCAAAAGGTAGACGTAGATCCCCAGATGTTGTAGATCTAAAACTCCCACGATGCTTTGCATGCCTTTAGAATGCAAACGCATCATGGAAGGTTTAGTTCTAAAGCATCTGGGGATCTACCTTTTGGGCACTCATGCTTTAAAGCATTTTAAAGGAACACTATCAGGTCAGGAACACAAACATGTTTTCCTGACCCTACAGTGCTAAAACCACCATCTAGTCTCCCTACCCCTCTCTACTGCCCTCCTGAATTTAGTAAAATCTTACTTTTGTTCAAGTCTGCAGCTGCTGGCTCTGCCCCTCATCGGTCTGTTTGGCTGACATCAGAAGGGATTCTCTGAGCCAATCACAATCCTAGCATTGTGATGGGCTCAGTGAATCACTTCTGATGTCAGCCAAGCAGGCCGATCAGGAGCAGAGCCAGCACAATCTCCTCATAGAGATAAATTGAATCAATGCATCTCTATGAAGAAAGTTCAGTGTCTCCATGCAGAGAGTGGAGACAATGAATGTCAGTCACACTGTGCAGCACTGCCCCAGGAAGCACCTCTAGCAGCCATCTGAGGAGTGGCCACTGGAGACGTCCCTAGGTTGTAATGTAAACACTGCATTTTCTCTGAAAAGACCGGGTTTACTGCAAAAGGCCTGAAGGCACAATAAGCTGTAGTTGTTTTGGTGACTATAGTGCCCCTTTAAACAAATATAATTTAGGAGCAGAATTTTTTTACCTAGTGTCAAGAGGAAAATATCTTTCCACCTGGGTACTCCTTAAAGCAACCTTTCAGTCACTACGCATCCATATTTCCTATTAAGAATGAAAAATGTCTGAAATTGAAAAGGTCCTGAAGTCCCATCTGCTTCATTAAAGTACATCCAGCTGTGAAAAATCCACAGGCTGAAACCCCGATCTATATAAATTGACAGCAATAGGTAAACGCTTCCCAAGTGAATAGGACAGATTTACAAAAATCCACAACCTGATGAAATGTATTTTGGCACTTACCCACTTTCCAGTCCCATTGTATGTTGCCAATAGCAGTGTATTCCACAATCATGCTTAAAGAAAAGAAAATGTAAACAATCAGTAAACAAAAATAACACCTTTGTCAATACCAACGGTGAAGAAAATGAAAAATGACACCTCTCTTGTAGAAACCTCATGATTCCTCCCAATACCTCGAAGACATTGAGGCTGAGAGGACGAAATAGTGTTTGATTTTTAATATTGTTTTTATGGGTGCATATTTCTGTGGACAAATGGAATCCATACATAGAGATAAGCTCTGAGAACACACATTCCTGTAAGTCCAATTTTGATTAAAAGGTATTCATTTTAAAATAGCACACACTGTATTGTGCCTTTCTCTTCACATTTAAGTGCATTCCAGTAGGAAGATCCTAGCATTTGACGTGGAATATCTCTAATTGGGAGATACACTGGTCATGAGTAAAATCTTGTGAGTGCATCTTAAAAGACACATTCACTTATTTATGGTTACAATACTACCCTATGCTTGTTTTCGAATTCAGTTTTTTTTTTGTAGATTCCCTTTTTGTTTATAAAACATCAAGAAAGGCTGGATTTTCTTACATGGATTACAAAACAGAATAGGGAATAGAAAGACATCACAGAATCAAATATGTCAATAAATTTAACAAACAAAGTCGAAAGGTGAAAACGTTTTCCTTTTGGAAGAATAACCAACCCTAACCCTATTCACTCAAACTGCAGTGAACTAAAACGGAATTGTAAAATGTGCACATGATCTCCAAGGACCTCAGTAGTGAAGGTCTCCAATGCGGAACCTCTAAAAGAACCATCATGCATGTTAGCATCTCACTACAAGCCTTCAATTATCAGTCATGTTAATCTTTGCATCATTTTAAATACAGCTAAGTTTTAACTTCTAACCATGTGTAATAACTGTATTCTTAAATATACCTTGTGCAATAAAAAATGTATACAATTGTAAAAATAATTTTAAAAAATATATACACGTCATAAAGCCTCTTACAGTTGGATCCCACTGACAAATGTTCCAAACAAGCCAAGCATCCCAAGGAACTCTTCTCTGGTTAGGTTTTTCACCACGTACTCCTCACATACGTTGGATACGGCATACAAACAGGCACCGAGGAGAACTAGCACATCACCAATTAACATGCTTGTGGCTGCAGAAAGACAACAGGAGAAAGGCATTTGTCACACGGCTAAAACGCCCAGTGATGTATCGGCACTAACAGTACTTTCAGTCCTAAATTCTATAGCAGAACACAAGCTGAAGGTGTCTACAGTTGACAATTTACCAAGTTTAAAAAAAGTGAGCAGGCTGCCACACTGGGATTACTACTGGGCCATAATGGATGGCATGATATTGTACAGTATACGTACAATAGTAACAGTGAATTTTTTACTCCAGTTTTTCTCGCGGCTAAATCAGTTAGCCATACGTACTTTTCAACAGCTTTAATGTGTTTAAAGTAAAAAAACAAAACAAAACAGTCCAGATACAATAAGGAGCACAATAGTTAATTTTGCTGTTTTAAGCCCAAACCTTTTTAATAAAAACGAACAAATATTAACACTCCAAGCACCATAACCATTACAGCTGTCTGTGGTGGTTACGGTGCCAGAAACGGGTGTGTAGACCACAAAGAAACCCAATAAAACCTTAGGTGAGACATTTGGCAAGGACAATATAACACCTGTAGAACAGATAGCACCTATACGCAATACTTCTTACCAGATCCAGCAGCTCTTCCGGACACCACATCAGCGCCAACCATGGTCCCAACGCCCAACAGACAGACCACGACAGCAATGTAATGGATCAATCTGTATCGCGCGCGAAGAATAAACCAAGAAAGAGCCATCAATACAGGAATCCCAACACAGTCCAGGAGCTAGATTGTTGAAATGAGATGAAAAAGAATCAGGTTATACAGAGGATACATACTTCTGTACACACACGGAATAAAGCGGCTTCCAGTACAAGAATTTAAAATACAAAATATAGGAGAACTACTATTAACCATTGGCTATTCTTTCCTTGGCATGCATGCATAAACATAATACACACACACGCAAAAACATTTTTTAAAAATACACCACCACCCTGCTGGTGCATTTGCAGTGGTTATGGTGCTCTTCCATAGGAAAAGGTCATATTGTTTAGCATGGCTTGAGAACTTAACCTGCATCTGAGTTACTCATGCAGGAGATTTGGGTTAGCTCTACAATGCTATGCAGGACCATTCAGAAACACGCTCGCTGGCTGACCATGACAGGAGGATTTGCTGTTCTTAATTTAAAAAACACAATGTGTTCTTTTAACATTTCAATTTGATAAGAAATGCTTCTGAAAAATGTACAGCATTTTTTTTTTTTTTATTGTGTTTAGGAGAAGCATTGAAATATAATGGTTATTGATGTATAAAACAAACAAACAAAAAAGCATCGCTATTGCTATGAAGCTGACTGAGCCTCTGCGCAGGCAATAACATACCAAATTTACAAGCTCGATATATGTCTGCTCATATACTGTAAACGAAATAAAAACCATTTAATACAAAAAAGCAACGCTATTTAAGGGGACACTCTAGGGTGAACGTCGGATATATGAAATATTCATAATCATTGTTTTCTGCAAATCTGTAGCCACTACATAAAGCAGGAATCTTTATTCTGCTACAGTTTCCAATGGGATAGCTCACATTAAGCTCTGCTCAGCAACAGTCTAGGATATGTAGTTCAGCAGTTCAATGTAGTTTTCAATCATGAAGATATTAACGGTTTAGCAAATTAAAAAAATTAATTAAAAAAAATACAAAAAAAAAAAAATACTGCTACTTACCAACTTCTATGCAAATGCTCAAGTCTAATATTAATGGGACCTTAACGTCAACCTCCCTTAATTATTCCTTCCGATACAAACACAACCATCAAATAACAGGATGCTCTCCCACTTGCCAACTATGGCCTGTTTTAATTAGGGTCCATTGAGTGTTCCTGTAGACGTTCTCCAGTCTAACATCCAATCTCATCCATTCAAACCTACTTTCTGTCAGCACCCAATCTCTATCACATTTTATATATAGAAAACAGGGGGGAGAAATTCTTGAAGTTTATTTTTGTACATATGGAATTTATGGACTGTGTTCATTTTAAAAGAAAAAGTTATGAAATATATTTTATTTTTATCTTTAAAGTTTATTTATTTTTACTTCTACTTTGCAATTTGTTAAACTGACTATAAATGTCTAAATGAGGTTGAATAAACCCCTTGCAGAAATTCTGATAGGAAAAATTAAAACAAGTGGCAATGGAGAATGACCATGGTGGGAGTAGGGGTTGAAAAAAAAAAAAAAGTTACAGGCTCAGAATGAGGGCTAAACAGAGAGATATGCATATGGTAAACCTCTCTCTCTTTCACTTCAAACAACCCAATGCCCGTTCACCACCATGTAAGCAGACAGGTATCTTTGGTGGGGTCCTTGTAAAACTACAAATAGCGGTGCTGCATTAAACTGGCATGAACAATCTGTTAAATGTACTTTAGCTGCCTAGCTATCATTCTGTCACTTTAAATAGCCAATAAAGAGATAAAGTCACTAATGTTTTATTTAAAAAAAAAAAATAAAGGAAAAAAGTTAATTTCATCCACTGAGAAAAGACCACAAGAGACACTGACCTGGACACTGGTGATCGTGGTAAATTGGTAAGCCTTGACTATGGAGTAGTTTGCTTCGACGTCCACTATCGCTAAAAATAAGTACTTCCACCACTTCTTTCTTACTATCTGCAGAAGTCCATTCTCTCCTGTCGAGTTAAGACAAAATGAAAGCATTGGATTTTTATTAATTCCTTGATTTGCCCTTTTACTTTTTTAAAATTTTTGGTAAAATGACTAAACCAATAGAGAAAACCCGAAAATGTTAAAGTATATTTCAGCTTGTCTTGCCTCTATGTTAATTGGGCATTGTATGACATTGTCCGCTCTGCAAAACCGAACATCTGCTCTAAGCCTAACTATCCTTGACACACAATATCTTTGTAAACTATGTATCCCATGTTGCTTAGTCACATCCTCGGCTGGCCAACCATCACTATAGTCCAAAGATCTGGTCTGCTAAAGATTGCATGTGCACACTTAGAAGCTATATTACTCGACCTTCACATTTTCTGAATGCATTTTATCTTAAGATTACATAAAAACGTGTTAAAACACATGGACACAAAAAAAGGTTAAAATCGTGTTATCTGCATACTCTGAAAATATACCAATCTAATTTAAGCTCTTCGAGTGCATCAGAATTTGTATTTTTATCTACAAAGTCAAGGCTGGCACTGGGGTCTGGATTTATTTTCAGGCCTTGAGAGTAAAGATTGTGTTCAGTTAAAAAATATAATTATTTATCTTGTTCCAAATGCAGTGGTAGAAATTCTGGGTTTAAAAAAAAAAAATTAAAAAAAATTACCAGGACGAATTTATTTTTTTTAAAGTACATTTCACATTCCATGTTTGCGGTTTTAGAAAGTGTTCACCTCAGAACACTTTAATAAAAAGATAAACAAATAGCTGCTTAAAGAAAGGTTTCCACAGTTGGGATCTAAAGCCTTCATCGAATTCATGAAGCATGTTATTAGGTGGGGCATTTGTTATATTTATAGATGTGTGTCTCGGCAGTAGCAGGACTGTGGGACCCTGCCCTGCATGGAGCTATATACCACGAGCGGACAGTTGTAGAATGCTATTAAATCGTGTAATTCCAATCTACAAAGGCATTTTAATTTGTAAAGAAAGTGTTTTCTCTTCATTGCATTACTCAGAGCTGAATCAGTTTGCAACCCCCTCTATGAGATAAATAATCAGAAAGCTCTATGCCTCCAGTCTTGTGCATATTTGATATGGTTTTATGCAGTGACAATTTATCATTTGCAACCATACACATGGGTGTTTTTATCTATCTCTTTAAAGCAAACTGCTTCACAAATCATTTGCTCATGTATTTTTGCCTCTTTCTGAACTCATTCATCAGCCAATACGCACAGATGTCTCGTACACTTTGAATTATGTCACTGACATGACCATCTGATTGCTTAACTAACAAAGGCTGCACTCGTTCAGCTACAGGTACTAAATATTAGCTCATAGAGCTGTGTGAGCCACAGTTGAGCATTACATTTTGAGATCATGGGTGTGATGCCCTGACATTTGGCAAGTGTTCAAACTGTGGCAAATGTCTCACTAGCCAATTTGCAAGCGATATAATCCTACAGTATTCATTCAAGCACGTGCCAAGTTTCCTGATTCTTTAGTGCTTAGTTTGTCATATGATGTCATACCTATGCTGTCACATTGTTCTCTTAAATGACCCATTTCTTTCTTTTAAATTAATCAGAACCTTACATCATAAATTAGCTGAGTGCCAACGTTGCGTCCAACAGACTGCAGATAAATGGTTTGAGCATCACCGCTAGAATGTAAAGGTTTAAATAAAAACACAAGCTGCCTCCAAATACACTATTTGAAAACAGATTATGTTTTAGTTCTAAAAGACGCAATAGTTTCAAGACTTTGCTGCCATATTTAAACAAGCATATCAGGGTGTGGGAGCCTGTGAAATGGAAGAACACACACTTTTTTTCCCCAGGTTTAAGATACCTGCTCAGTCTTTCCAGATATTGAAGTGGACCGGTCATTGAAAAAAAAAAAAAAAAAACATAAGAGTGTGTAGTTTAAACAGAATGGATTGTCAGGTAACACTGTCAAAGTTATCCATAGAATTCTCCTCACCTCACTGAAGGTGCCACACAAGTGCACGTTACTAAGGTGGTAGTTAAAAACAATGTGATAGGGCTGCATTGCGAAACACTTAACGGTCATTCAAAAACTTGACTCAACATAAATGTGAAGCTTCTACACAACATTCAGACTCGAGATCTTACAGTTTACACTAGCATGATGGAACAATGCCAGACCATGTATGACTCCTGCCACTGATTCTTGAGGAGTACACTGCCAGATGGATATCAAAAAATGAATATATAGCTACATAACATACATACCTGCTCGAAATGCCAGCCAGACTGTGTATACCAGGAAAAGGAGGCAGTAGTTGATAAAACTCTGTAGCATCGGAGTGTCTACTTTGTACGTTTCCGCCAGGAACTGGCTGGTAACAGCAGTGCCACATATAAACAGAGACACCATCTGTCCCATCGCGATGGTCTTCAGAACACTCCTGGAAGAGATCAGAAGGAATTTCTTTATTAGAAAATAAAGTGATACACTATACTTCCAAGGGTAACTGAAACGGACAGAAATCAAAGAAGTAAAATCTGTCTATTACCAAACAACGTCAGTTCATAAAATAATGTAAAACTGTTCCAAAACCTATAACAAGTAACATCATGGAGATCGATAATAAAGCCTTAAACCAGGAAACCGCAACATACAAGATTAGTCAACAGAAACATTATTAGCGCATTGCAATGGTGTATCCCTATTCATAGTATTCGTTCATGAAGATATGCCTTGAGACACCATTTTGATGGACAGTTTTAACAGCAGGATCTATTTCCCCCTGGCCAACTTCCCAGATGCATCCAGTTTCTGTGGCTTCTCATAACTGTATTGGCAGTGTCCATTGTTCTGCGAAACAGGCACTGCAGTAGAGTAAGGTTCATTCAGTATGACTGTTGTCACATCTCTTTTGTTCAATGGGAACGGGTGGATGATTAATATGGCTTAGATATATCCAGTAGCCATTGTAGGTGTACCTACAAGAGTGAAAGCTAAGATTATACAAGTGCAATATATATACATTGTTCCATCATGCTAGTGTAAACTGTAAGATCTCGTATCTGAAGGTTGTGTAGAAGCTTCACATTTATGTTGAGTCAAGTTTTTGAATGAAGTGTTTTGCAATGCAGCCCTATCACATTGTTTTTAACTACCACCTTAGTATACACACATACATATATATATATATATATATATATATATATATATATATATATATATATATACACATACATACATACATACATACATACATACATACATACATACATACATACATACACATACATACATACATATATATATATATATATATATATATATATATATATATATATATATATATATATATATATATATACATATACATATACATATACATACACACACACACTTTTTCCATAAGGGTAAGATCACATTTACATTTGAAAAAGTATATTTAAAAATGTAAATTTTAAATTTGTAATTTAAAGTTAAAGGGACGCTATAGGCAGCCAGACCACGTCAGCTCATTTAAGTACAGAGTCCCTATTGCACTTATTGCTGCAACGTAAAACACTGCAGTTTTAGAGAAACTGAAATGTTTACATTGCAGCACTAAGTCTGCCTCCAGTGACCGTCTACCAGACAGATGCTAGAGGTGCTTCATGGATGCTAACGGACTTTTGGTCCAGTAACTGACGCTGGAGGTAAAAAAAATGTTTTAACCCTTTATTTACTTTGGTGGGGAGGGGGGGGAAGGTGCGGAGCACGTGAGAGAGGGGGAAGCAGAGTAAGCTATAGGCCAGGAATACAGCTTTGTATTCCTGGCACTTATAGTATCCCTTTAATAAACATTTAATTTAGATAATGCCTAAATACATTCACGGTAGGTTTGATAGAAATTTGTGATATTTATGTTTTGGAAGTTTTTACGGCTTGTAGCATTCATAAACATTGCTGTTTTTTTAAAAGGGACTTTTTTTTATATGCACTAATCAGGGCAAGGGGACATCTTTGCTCTATAATGTGTGCAATGAGCACAAGGCATACACATTGTGGGGAAACCAACCTCGCAACTGGGCATTGGAGAAGCCTGTTTGCCCGCCTCCTGACTATTGCCCCTGGGAGATCTGGTCCTTTAAATACATTATTTGGGCATATTGTATTTTATTATGCTGCTGCTGGCCCTTTAAGTACCATCTGGGGACATACTGCGACTTTTGGGAACAATGCCCCTTTAAGACGGTGTCCCCAGACTTATTTGGGACAATGCCTCTTTAAGACTTTGTCCCCAGTGTCCCCAAACTGTTAATATACTGTGTTCCTGGGTTTCTTCCACTTGGTTCAGTAAATGAGGCTTACTGAACCAAATACCACACAGGCGGAGCACCCAGAACTGGAAGTGTGCAGGCAATTTATCTCCCAGGCTGGGAGCCTGCTGTAGGTAAATTGCCAACCGTGGCGACGGCCATCTTTAATTCAGCTGAAGTTTTACCTTCTCCAGACTTCAATGCATTCGACAGTTCGAACGCCGTTCGACAGTTCATTCGACAATTCGAATAGTTGTTGTTTGTCTGTTTGAACTGACTTTAACATGGGAAATAGACCGTCCGGACAGCCTGATCCTTTGGAACTGTTTTGGGCATGAAAATGTGCTTGCGGTCGGTCAAAGCTGACTTATATCTATCTCCCGAACAGCTGAACGGATTCAAATGATTTTTGGGTATGTTTGTATTTGAAATATGCTGATTAATAATATGTGACTTTTATTAATATTGGATGTATAGTTTTAGAGTTATGAAAGTTGGGTAAAAAGTATGTTTTAAACTGTATGGCTAATTGTGTTACCTCTCAGGCTAAGGGGAGGAGATGTGTGGGATGTAACCAGTGTGTGATTGGGTAATTCATAATTGTCTGTGGGCATCTCCCTTGCACGAGAGAATTGCATTAAAAGTAGAGTGTGTGTCATTAAAAACCGGAATTCGACTTCACCCTCAATTTGGAGTGCCATCTCTTATTGTGGGAATCTGCTACAAGGGATTGCTATGCTAGTCATACTCTCTTTCTATGTCACTACTAAGCTCTTGTAAGAGCTTGTTCCTGTCTTGCTCTCTGAAGGAGTCTGCGGTGGTTATGGTGTCGGCTGGAGCGCTTGGAGCCCTCAGGAAGCGCTAGGAGAATCCTTACTAGACTCAGCAGCATTAGTGTACATTCAATTAATTCTACATTTGTCCAGGCAAAGTGGGGAAGGTGCTAGCATCAGTTAATGCTAAATGTCTTTTCTGGAGAATTTAAGTTCGTAAAGAGATGGCAGGTAACATTTACTGAACCAAAAACAGGTGGGGTTGTTCACTAAATTGAGTTTTGATTACCAGTTGATTATGTAGAATTTAGCTGTAGCTGGGTCAATTATAACTGCAATCTGCTCTAAATTTACTACACACAGAATATACACAGTCAGAAACTAAAACAGATTATAAAACAATTGCAAAGACCTAGCCGATGAACAAGACAAGCGTTTATCTATGTAGCGCAATTTCTCTCCATTAACAAACAAAATAATACATGTTAAAAAAAAATAGCTATCTAAAAATAACACACAATGAAAATGCAAACATCCTGCACAGCAGAGGTGAGGTGGAATAGAATAGTGATTCAACTTCCTGCCCTGCCTCAAGGAGCTCTGTACATCTAACCTGATCATGGCATGTTTCAAAACTACCTTGTACATCCCATAAACCAGACTTTCCTTACATGTCAGCTGTACTGTGGATTACCCGCTACACACATACACACAATGTTTAATGAAGGGGTCAGCCAAGATGGGAAAAATCTCTCTCTTCTTCAGATGCAGAGTACAATTCCCATATAAAGAGATCCTAAAAGCTTTAAATTTAGCTCAAAAACATAAACTATCCTTTTTTTTTTTCTTCTTTTTTTTTTTAAATAAAAGATGAATACCACTTAGAGTTCTCTATTAGAATGGGTTTTTTTCAGTCCAGCAAAACAATGGCATTTGACACGTACATCCTGCCTATTATAATAAGAATTAAAAATAATGCAAGGGCGTACCATAAAATAAATAGTTATAATTAGAATATTGCAAAATATAAAACATGTAATAGAAGCAAGGAGGAATATATTATACGTGGACAGCACCTGGCCTGTCTGGGTTGCTAATGGTGTACTAGGAGCGGAGAATTGCAGAATAGTGAAATTATTATAGAAACAGGAATTAAAAGTTGAGAGTTTATCATCAATGCCCACTCATACGCAATAAATGCAGGTGACAATTTTGTTAAACTGCTGGAGCAAACTGATTTATGAGGAGTATAACAAATACAAACCAAAGAAATGTCTTAGCATTACCGGGTCATTAATTAACACCCCAGAAATTATGCCAAATTGGGACAGTTCTCTTCATTGTGTAAAGAGGATGATGTTTATATTTCTGGCTAACGAAGGGCCCATATTAGTAGGTGTACATCATATTTTCCAATTTTGGACTCTGGGTCAACAATTTAACGGCAGCTGAAGAACCACAAAGCAAGTTCTCAAAAGAAGGTATTCTCTTAAAGTAAACACTGAAAATAGCTTAAAATACAGACTTGTGATACTTTGTATAAACAGTAACTAGCCAAAAATAAATATATTCAAAAGGTGTACAACTGAAAAAAAGGTGCAACTCCACTTCAGAAAATCACACCATAAAAAAAAAAAAAAAACCTCACTGCCTTTATACATTGATAACAAACACACACACACACACACACACCTATGTGTTACTCTGAAAAATCAAAAGGGACACAACTTATAAAAATGTCAGCTTGACAAAGCTCTCTGAAGGGTGAAACATTGTATTTCTTGTTCCAATAAAAACTGCTTGATGATATATATGGTGTCCCTGGATCATATGTATTTTTTGACAACTCATAAAAGGGTAATTTCAAGCATTTAATGGGGCCTACAGTCCAAAAGACTGCCACACATCTGCACAATAAAGTAAAATAGGAGTACTGTATACATATTTAGGTATATAAATGGACGTTGCTAGAATGCTTATTACACTGTGCTTTCTCACTCACATTTCACAAAACCACAAAAAAATAAAGTGATACTGTGATAGCTCAGAAATTCCTCAAAAAGCTATTACAGAATTGGAAAGGCATACTGTAATCGCCCTGACCTTTGCTCATAAAGCCTCAATGGAGTACATAAGTGAAATTGCTAAATCAAAAGAGTGATCGGTGTAAAATTGATTTGAGGACCAGATTTAGCAAAACCGCTTTAACGCAGGGTAATTGAAATTTAAAAACCTCATAGCACAAATTATGGTGCGGCGAGACCCCTGTCCCAGTCTTCCTTCTTTTTCGTTTTTTAACTGCGAGTTTCTAAAACTTGCTGCATCTACAGCCCGTACGTCTTGTAATAGGCTCCCTCATTGCCCTGTACCTAACGCAGCTTCAATCACGAAAAAAACACCAACAACAAAAACACAACATGAATGGTGTTAAAAGGTAATAGAAGCCATATAATTAATATTATATTCAAGAGTTTCATTCACATTTTACACATATAAAAATTATGAAGATTGCTGAACACTTTTTCCATAACCTAGAAATAGAAAACAGGGGGACAACAGTATTGGATGAAAACTTTTAGAATTTTGGAGCGAATTCCTTGTGTGTAAAAGAATCACTGCAGAAGCTATAAAACCTTAGGATCTGCAATATATAAAGAAACTACACCGGCATGAAAAGCATGTGACAGGGTACCCGCTAGACATTAATAAAACCCACAGAGTGCGTACCTATACTGTTAAAAAATTGGTAGGTTGATAATATTAATAGAAAATAAATGCCACAGAATAAAGGCAGACACTGTAATAAAATATGCCCACAGATTGAGGGAGGCCACTGTAATTAAAAAATGGGCAGGGTAATCAGAATATCCCACATAGTGAGCATAGAAACATAGAAACATAGAATGTGACGGCAGATAAGAACCATTCGGCCCATCTAGTCTGCCCAATTTTCTAAATACTTTCATTACTCCCTAGTCTTATCTTCTAGTTAGGATAGCCTTATGCCTATCCCACGCATGCTTAAACTCCTTTACTGTGTTAACCTCTACCACTTCAGCTGGAAGGCTATTCCATGCATCCACTACCCTCTCAGTAAAGTAATACTTCCTGATATTAATTTTAAACCTTTGTCCCTCTAATTTAAGACTATGTCCTCTTGTTGTGGTAGTTTTTCTTCTTTTAAATATAGTCTCCTCCTTTACTGTGTTGATTCCCTTTATATATTTAAATGTTTCTATCATATCCCCCCTGTCTCGTCTTTCCTCCAAGCTATACATGTTAAGATCCTTTAACCTTTCCTGGTAAGTTTTATCCCGCAATCCATGAACCAGTTTAGTAGCCCTTCTCTGAACCCTCTCTAAGGTATCAATATCCTTCTGAAGATACGGTCTCCAGTACTGTGTACAATACTCCAAGTGAGGTCTCACCAGTGTTCTGTACAATGGCATGAGCACTTCCCTCTTTCTACTGCTAATACCTCTCCCTATACAACCAAGCATTCTGCTAGCATTTCCTGCTGCTCTATTACATTGTCTGCCTACCTTTAAGTCATCAGAAATAATCACCCCTAAATCCCTTTCCTCATATGTTGAGGTTAGGACTCTATCAAATATTCTGTACTCTGCCCTTGGGTTTTTACGTCCAAGATGCATTATCTTGCACTTATCCACATTAAATGTCAGTTGCCACAATTCTGACCATTTTTCTAGTTTACCTAAATCATTTGCCATTTGGCTTATCCCTCCTGGAACATCAACCCTGTTACATATCTTAGTATCATCAGCAAAAAGACATACCTTACCATCAAGACCTTCTGCAATATCACTAATAAAAATATTAAAGAGAATGGGTCCAAGTACAGATCCCTGAGGTACCCCACTGGTGACAAGTCCAAGCTTCGAATATATTCCATTGACTACAACCCTCTGTTGCCTGTCACTCAGCCACTGCCTTACCATTCAACAATATTGGAATCCAAACTTAAAGATTGCAGTTTATTGATAAACCTTCTATGTGCAACAGTGTCAAAAGCCTTACTGAAATCTAGGTAAGCAATGTCTACTGCACCACCCTGATCTATTATTTTAGTTACCCAATCAAAAAATCAATAAGATTAGTTTGGCATGATCTCCCTGAAGTAAACCCATGTTGTCTCTGATCTTGAAATCCATGTGTTTTTAGATGTTCCTTAATCCTATCCTTTAACATGGTTTCCATCACTTTCCCCACTACTGAAGTAAGGCTTACTGGCCTATATTTGCCCGACTCCTCCCTATTACCTTTCTTGTAAATGGGCACAACATTCGCTAACTTCCAATCTTCTGGGACTACTCCTGTTAACAATGATTGGTTAAATAAATCTGTTAATGGTTTTGCTGGTACACCACTAAGCTCTTTTAATAGCTTTGGGTGTATTCCATCAGGTCCCATTGACTTATTTGTCTTTACTTTTGACAGTTGAAATAGAACCTCTTCCTCTGTAAACTCACGTGTAATAAATGACTCATTTATCCCTTTTCTCAACTGAGGTCCCTTTCCTTCATTTTCTTCTGTAAATACAGAACAAAAATATTCATTGAGGCAGTCAGCCTGACCTTTATCCTCTTCTACATACCTTCCTTCTTTTGTTTTTAATCTAACTAGTCCTTGTTTTACTTTTCTTTTCTCATTTATGTATCTAAAAAATGTTTTATCCCCCTTTTTTACTGACTGTGCTATTTTCTCTTCTGTGTGTGATTTGGAAGCTCTTATAACTTGCTTAGCCTCTTTCTGCCTAATCTTATAGATCATTTTGTGTTCCTCACTCTGGGTTTTTTTATAATTCCTAAATGCTAACTTTTTGTTTTTAACTATTTTGGCCACATCTGCGGAGTACCACAGTGGTTTCTTTATTTTTTTGCTTTTACTGACAAGCCTAATGCAATTCTCTGTTGCCTTCAATAGTGCAACTTTTAAATAATCCCATTTTTCTTGGACTCCATTTAAATTGCTCCAGTCTGATAATGACTCCTTTACCCATATTCTAATTTTAGAAAAGTCTGTTTTTCTAAAGTCTAAAACTTTTGTTTTTGTGTGGTGTGACTCAGTCACTGTTCTTATATTAAACCACACTGACTGATGATCACTGGATCCTAAACTTTCACCTACAGTAACATCTGATACAAAATCTCCATTTGTTAACACTAAATCTAGTATGGCCTCTTTACGAGTTGGCTCCTCAACAACTTGTTTTAGAGACAATCCCAGTAGGGAGTTTAGAATATTTGTGCTCCTGGCACAAGTAGCTAATTTTGTTTTCCAATTTACATCAGGAAGATTAAAGTCACCCATGATGATAACTTCCCCCTTCATTGTCATTTTAGCTATTTCCTCAACTAGTAGATTATCTAACTCTTCAATTTGTCCTGGGGGCCTATAAATCACACCTACACGAGTTACTGTGTGATTACCAAATTCTAACGTAGCCCAAACGGACTCTATGTTTGCCTCACTAACTTTTATTAGGCTAGATTTTATGCTATCCTTCACATACAAGGCCACCCCTCCCCCTTTCTTGCCTTCCCTATCTTTCCTATATAAAGAGTACCCTGGTATTGCTATGTCCCAGTCATTTTTCTCATTGTACCATGTCTCAGTAACAGCGACTAAATCTACACTATCAGTTGCCATTATTGCCACAAGTTCATGGATCTTATTCCCTAAACTGCGAGCATTTGTAGACATGACTCTAAGCTTATCATTTTTTAACACACTTGCTACAGGCACCTTCTGTCCTTGTTTTGGGGGACAATTGGATTGATGTTTTATCACCCTTTTGCCCCCCCCTCCTAGTTTAAATACATCCTAGCAAAACCTCTGAACTGCTCACTGAGAACATTTGTTCCCTTTTGAGAAAGATGCAAACCATCCTTTTTGTACAGTTATTTCCATTCCAAACAGAGCTACCATAAAGCCAAATCCTTGCTCCCAACACCATTCACCAAGCCACAAATTAAAGTCCCTAATACGCATCCGCCTGTCGTTCTGAGTGTTATGCACAGGCAGAACTTCAGAGAATGACAGTATGGAAGCAACCTGCCGTATATCATTGGCAAAAACACTAAAAACTTCCTTAACCTCTGAAACCTCATTGCAAGCCAAGTCATTTGTCCCTAGATGGACAAGTACATCCAATTCCCCTTCCTGCTTTGCTTGCTTAACAATATTACAGATACGTCTCCTGCCTCTGTGAGCAGTAGCTCAGGGAAGACACCTCACAAGACCACCATTGTCCATCTCCACACCTCTTATAATGGAATCCCCCAACAACAACTGCTTTCTATTAGGCCTCACCATAGTCTCCAAGCCGGTATCCACAACACCACTAGTCTCAGTGCCTCTCTCCACAACACCACTAGCCTCAGTGCCTCTCTCCACAACACCACTAGCCTCAGTGCCTCTCTCTACAACACCACTAGTCTTATTGCCTCTCTCCACAACACCACTAGCCTCAGTGCCTCTCTCCACAACACCACTAGCCTCGGTGCCTCTCTCCACAACACCACTAGCCTCGGTGCCTCTCTCCACAACACCATTACACTCTGAAAGTGCAGAAAATGAATTATGAAGAGCAACAGACTGTGCAAAATGCCTTTTATCCACAACTCTAAGTCTACCAGATCCTACAGTAATCCATCTGCCTTTCCTAGCATGTCTCTGCGGCAGTGGCACTAATCAAAATCTCCCACAGACATTGAGTGACCACCCTTACCAAAGACTCTTACACAGAGAGGGTCGACCCTGCAATCAAAATCTCCCACAGAGAGGGTAGATACAGTAATCAAAACCTCCCAGAGAGAGAGAGAGAGAGAGAGGGTAGATACAGTAATCAGTCTCCCACACAGAGAGGGTAGATACAGTAATCAGTCTCCCACACAGAGAGGGTAGATACAGTAATCAGTCTCCCACGCAGAGAGGGTAGATACAGTAATCAGTCTCCCATACAGAGAGAGAAGATACAGTAATCAGTCTCCCATGCAGAGAGGGTAGATACAGTAATCAGTCTCCCACACAGAGTGGGTAGCTACAGTAATCAAAATATCCCACAGAGAGAGGGTAGCTACAGTAATCAAAATATCACTCAGAGAGAGGGTAGGAACAGTAATCAAAATATCCCACAGAGAGGGTAGGAACAGTAATCAAAATATCCCACAGAGAGGGTATATACAGTAATCTAAATATCACACAGAGAGAGGGTAGATACAGTAATCAAAATATCCCACAGAGAGGGTATTTACAGTAATCAAAATATGAGAGAGAGAGAGAGAGAGAGAGAGAGAGAGGGTAGATACAGTAATCAGTCTCCCATACAGAGAGGGTAGATACAGTAATCAGTCTCCCATACAGAGAGGGTAGATACAGTAATCAGTCTCCCATACAGAGAGGGTAGATACAGTAATCAGTCTCCCATACAGAGAGAGAAGATACAGTAATCAGTCTCCCATACAGAGAGAGAAGATACAGTAATCAGTCTCCCATACAGAGAGAGAAGATACAGTAATCAGTCTCCCACACAGAGAGGGTAGATACAGTTTTCAAAATATCACAGAGAGAGGGTAGCTACAGTAATCAAAATATCCCACAGAGAGAGAGAGGGTAAATACAAAACATACCACAGACATTGACTGACCACCCTTACCAAAAACTCTTTCAGATAAACGGTAGACACCACAATCAAAATCTCCCACAGAGAGTGATACGGTAATCACATCAGACAGACCATGAGTGACCATCCTTGCCAAAGACTCTTGCACAGAAAACGTAGACAATGAAATCAAAAAAATTCCCACAGAGAGAGAGTAGACAGATACAAAACACATAGATAATTCAGAACAAAAATAAACACGTTTGTTTCAGAAGGAGATTGGGTTTCTTATTTCAAATACATCTAGAAAAGGTTTTATGACAAACAAAATCACTACGGACTAAAAAAACAAAAAAACAAACAAAGAAAAAAAAACAATCCCTCTACCTAAACAAAACATTATTAAGTAATATTGCACTATAGGTTAATATGTATATGGATGTTGTGGAGTTATTTCCTGTATTCCTGTGACAGTATATATACTATCCTGATGAAAGTTTGCAAGACGAACTGTCCTTTTGCTATCCTTTTGCTGTTTCTACATTATTTGCTGACAAGCACCGGGCTTTTTAGACCTGAGTAAATGGAGTGCAAAATTATATATACACACACACACACACACTATAAAATGATATATATACACACACACAGTATAAAAAAATATATATATAGTTTTGTTTCTATTTTTTTATACTGTGACAGAATAAAATAAAAAATAATTAGATAGATATCTATCCATCTATCACAGGTGCCTCATTCCAGGGCCCTATTTAGCCTTGTACTGTAGAGAGACTCCCCTCCCCAAGTAAGTGGGTTATTCTCATAAGAACAGACATTAAGCTGTTTGAGTAGGACCTGCCAAAGATGGGGTACATTGACGTGGCAGGCTTATGCAATGTATGATCATTTTTTTTGCCTAGATTAGATATTTAAAAAAATAAATAAATCTGTAAGCATTGAAGTTGCTGTTTAGTGGATAAGTGAGTGCGCTGGATCTTGTGTAATATATAACTTGGTAACTTGTACAGGCTGTCTCATAGAATCCAATGGTTGAGCCTGTGCAGCAAAGCTTCAACCAGTATCATCACAAAACAAAGCACAGCAATATTATTGTATCAGAAATTCTTTCAATGAAAACAATTGGAGTGTCAGGTTGGCTGAGAAAGATCAACCATTTTATGGTTTCAGCAGACTCTGAGGCTTCACACTCACTCACTCTCTCACTCTCCTTCTTGGTATAAACAATATACCTGCCCAGGTGCAATCCACAAGGCGTCCAATATATAAACAAAAAAGAAGTTTGCAGGATGCACTCCAGGACTTCAGTCCTGGAGTGCATCCTGCAAACTTCTTTTTGTGTGTGTATATATATATATATATATCAGTCTCCCATACAGAGAGAGAAGATACAGTAATCAGTCTCCCATACAGAGAGAGAAGATATATATACACACACAAAAAGAAGTTTGCAGGATGCACTCCAGGACTGAAGTCCTGGAGTGCATCCTGCAAACTTCTTTTTTGTTTATATATTGGACGCCTTGTGGATTGCACCTGGGCAGGTATATTGTTTATACCAAGAAGGAGAGTGAGAGAGTGAGAGAGTGAGTGAGTGTGAAGCCTCAGAGTCTGCTGAAACCATAAAATGGTTGATCTTTCTCAGCCAACCTGACACTCCAATTGTTTTCATTGAAAGAATTTCTGATACAATAATATTGCTGTGCTTTGTTTTGTGATGATACTGGTTGAAGCTTTGCTGCACAGGCTCAACCATTGGATTCTATGAGACAGCCTGTACAAGTTACCAAGCATTACACAGAGCACAAAAGGCATATTTCTGCCTGTGCCACCACTATGTAGGGTGGTGGACATACAAAGGCAGTTAGACAGTGGGCTTCTGAAACAAAAGTTATGCAAAAATCCCAAAGTTATTATGATTTTGATTTATTATTATTTAATGCCCCCATATCAGGTTCTACAGACATGATAGCTGCACATCAGTTTAGGGAGTGTAATGGAGCCACAACAGGAATTATATGTAAAGGTATCCTGAAAGTAAAGTATGTCAGCAGTAATTTCCTACATGCCAATTAACAATACATTATAAAAAATTAAATGTTTGCTAATCTTTTATGGATCATAGTTTCTCAGATTATGACATCTCAATAATCTTGTTTTCTTATTTGTCAGTCTTTCTGTACATCATTGGCAATCTTGATCTATTTTACAGCTTAGACTCTCTGTCAGTCCAGTCTGATTAATGTTTCTTACATTATGGTGCTGCATATGCATGACCCAAGTAAAACCCAATAAATTAGCATCAAACCACCTTAATTGTCAATCCCATCTATTTAAACTATCCAACATTATCCAAAACATTCTCTCTCACACTAAATACCTGAACTTTACCCCTCTCACTATTCTGATTCCACATCTGCTGCACTAAGAAACCCAATCTGAGCCCCTCACACTAAATACCTGCACTTTACCCATCTCACCATCCTGACCCCACACCTGCTGCACTAAGAGAACCAATCTGAGCCACTCACACTAAATACCCACACTTTACCCATCTTACCATCCTGACGCAATCTGAGCCACTCACACTAACTCTGAGCCACTCACACTAAATACCTGCACTTTACCCATCTCACCATCCTGACCCCACACCTGCTGCACTAAGAGAACCAATCTGAGCCACTCACACTAAATACCCACACTTTACCCATCTTACCATCCTGACCCAATCTGAGCCACTCACACTAAATACCTGCACTTTACCCATCTTACCATCCTGACCCAACACCTGCTGCACTAAGAGACCCAATCTGAGCCATTCACACTAGATACCTGCACTTTACCCATCTCACCATCCTGACACCACACTTGCTGCACTAAGAGACCCAATCTGAGCCCCTCACACTAAATACCTGCACTTTACCCTTTCACCATCCTGACCCCACGCCTGCTGCACTAAGAGACCCAATCTAAGCCACTCACACTAAATACCCACACTTGACCCATCTTACCATCCTGACCCAATCTGAGCCACTCACGCTAAATACCTGCACTTTACCCATCTCACCATCCTGACCCAATCTGAGCCACTCACACTAAATACCTGCACTTTACCCATCTCACCATCCTGACCCAATCTGAGCCACTCACACTAAATACCTGCACTTTACCCATCTCACCATCCTGACCCAATCTGACCCACTCACACTAACTCTGAACCACTCACACTAAATACCTGCACTTTACCCATCTTACCATCCTGACCCAATCTGACCCACTCACACTAACTCTGAGCCACTCACACTAAATACCTGCACCTTACCCATCTCACCATCCTGACCCAATCTGAGCCACTCACACTAAATACCTGCACTTTACCCATCTCACCATCCTGACCCAATCTGACCCACTCACACTAACTCTGAACCACTCACACTAAATACCTGCACTTTACCCATCTTACCATCCTGACCCAATCTGACCCACTCACACTAACTCTGAGCCACTCACACTAAATACCTGCACTTTACCCATCTCACCATCCTGACCCAATCTGAGCCACTCACACTAAATACCTGCACTTTACCCATCTCACCATCCTGACCCAATCTGACCCACTCACACTAACTCTGAACCACTCACACTAAATACCTGCACTTTACCCATCTTACCATCCTGACCCAATCTGACCCACTCACACTAACTCTGAGCCACTCACACTAAATACCTGCACTTTACCCATCTCACCATCCTGACCCCACACCTGCTGCACTAATCTGAGCCACTCACACTAACTCTGAGCCACCATTCCCTGCCAGGCACTGCTTTACCAAGAGAAGATCTTCTTCCCAACACGTGCCAGGAGATCCCACACCCCAGTCTTGCGGCCAGGTGGGCGCCCCAGGGAGGGCTGATAGACATCTTCCTCCTCCATCCTTCCCGCACGGAGGGCTGTGAGTGCAGTGCTCAGAGTGCGGCTCTCCCCCAGACAGCCATGTGTGCCGCTCAACCAGGGATTGGAGGTCCGGAATGGGCGGGGCCGGACAGGCTGTGCGTGACGTCACCGGCCACAGCTTGGCTGAGAGTTCTAAACACAGCGAGACAAAACGCCCAGAGTGGTCTCCAGTGTCACCTATGGGGAGAGTGTTTATAACTCTTCCCAGGCACTGGGACAATAGCATTTCCTTTGATGCCCAGCCAGCCTTTAGGTGTCAATCTGAGCATTATGGGAAATGTGTCAGGCAGCAGCAGGGTTAGGTGAGGGACACACACTGGAAATAAAGTTTTTTGGTTTTTTTTTTAGCGTTAACCCCTTAAGGACTGAGCCAAATGTACAAGTGGTGATCAAAATGTAAAGAAAACCTGGAATTTGCGCTATACTATATGTCTGTCCAACCGTAATTCACCTATTTCATAGTAAATGCACCCACCCTTATTATATATCATTTTATTCAGGGGAAACAGGGCTTTCATTTAACATCAAATATTTAGCTATGAAACATAATATGAATAAAATATAAAAAAAAAAAAAGGGAGAAAATAAGAATTTTTTAAAAAAAATGTTTAGTTCTACGTGACATTCTAACTGTCAATGTCATAATACTGTTTGCTTTTACTGCAATAAAATACACATATTTGTATTCAGCGATGTCACACGTGTAAAACAGTACCCCCTATGTACAGGTTTTATGGTGTTTTGGGAAGTTACAAGGTCAAATATAGCGTATTACATTTTTCAGTTTTTCCACATTGAAATTTGCCAGATTGGTTACATTGCCTTTCAGATGCTATGGTAGCCCAGGAATTAAAATTACTCCCATGATGGCATACCATTTGCAAAGGTAGACAACCCAAGGTATTGCAAATGGGGTATCTCCAATCTTTTCTAGTAGCCACAAACACTGGCCAAAGTTAGTGTGTGTGTGTGAAAAATGCAAAAAACCATTTTGAACGCCAATTTTGGCCAGTGTTTGTGACTAAGTGGCTGCTAAAAAAGACTGGACATACCCCACTTGTGTTGTAGAATTATAGAATTTATAAGAGAACGCTTTGTCAGGAAGAAATGTGCGTCAGCGGAACAATGTGTTCATCAAGAATGAAACATTGTGGCCGCTGAGCGACATGTTGATCTCAATAAAGTATGTGTCAGCTGAATAATAAAATGTGTATCTACTAAAAAACCTTGAAAACTAAGCTTGAAACTAATAATGCCAACTACTCAAAATTGCTGCCAAAGCACCCCTCCCATCGAGTGGACACCTCGTGCTTGTGTCCACTCCCGTGTCAAGGATGATATCACCTCTTAATGGGAGGGCATCTAACTAACCACTTAACACCTGAACCAATTAATAATGTTTATTTGCTGTTATCTTGAATTCTTCAGTGATGTAAAAATGCCTTTATAAGGGTCTGCGCACCCATTTTCTGTTAGAAGCCATTAAACTTCTCCGAAGTTCTTTCATTAACCTGAACTCTGTGTCTCAGTGTGAATTTACTTCTGCATGCACGCAACTTTATTATCTTTAATTTGGACAGGAACAGATAGTCATTCAAACTAATTGGTTTGCAGTAAATAATCTACTACAATTGCAATACCTTGGGTTGTCTACTTTTGCAAATGGTATGCCATTATGGGGGTAATTCTCATTCCTGGGCTACCACACACTCTCAAAAGGCAACATAAACAATCTGGCAAATTTAAATAAAAAAAAAAAAAATGAAATGCAAGCCTTATATGTGACTCTCTAACTTTCCAAAACACCATAAAACCTGTACATGGGGGTACTGTTATTCTCAGGAGACTTCACTAAACACAAATATTAGTGTTTTAAAACAGTAAAACATATTATAATAATATAGTCCATAAAAGCGCAGTTAGTTTGGAAAAAAATGCAAAAAACGTCACTTTTACTAAAAATATCGTGTAATACAATTTATCATTTTGAAACACTAATATTTGAGTTCAGTGAAGTCTCCCGAGTAAAACAGTACCCCCTATGTACAGGTTTTATGGTGTCTTGGAGAGTTAAAGGGTCAAATATAGTGCTTGCGAATTAAATTCTTTGCACTGTCTCCCTGTGTTGTCAGGCATGTCAATCAAATCACATAATTATGTTAAAAGATTACTTAAATATACAGGTAGAATTTTAATATATATGCATTTATAGGTATTTAAATTCTATGTATATACTAATGTAATCTTTTATGTAATATGTATTTATCTATATATTTGCGGTTATTTGTATTTTATATATAGCTATATAGAATGTCATTCTAGGTGTATTTTGTTACACACACACATATATATTAATAACAAAATACAGTTAGAATGAAATTACATATGAATATATAATTTATATTACATTTTGTTTCAATATTTTATTTATTATTGTAATATATATATATATATACATACACACACACACTATATCATTCTAAGTGTATTTTAATACTAATACATCTACTTATATTATTAAAATACACATTGTATGATGTTACATATATGTATATATTATATAGTTAATAGATATACTTATATTATATATAAAAATACATTTATTTTAATTTTACACGTCTAATTCTCTTTTTTTTTTTTTTTTTTTACTTTCCCACCAGCATGGGGACTGTCTGACATTTCAGACAGTCCCCCTACTGGCAGATCCACAGCCAGCTATAGGGGGCCATGTGATCGATAACATGGCCCCCGGGGGCCTCATTTGCCAGGGGAGGGCTGCCTGGGCTGTCAGGCAGCCCTCCAGAAGAGGATCGCGGCGGTAGTAAGTACGCCTGATCTCCAGGGGCTCAAAGCCGTTACGCCGTTCTATGCCGCCGCAACGGCTTTAAAGCCCTTTTAATCCGGGACGGCATAGAATACAAAACCAGTGAACCACTCATGGACAGCTGTTTCATTGTTAATGAAACTCAGCATGAGGTTAGTTACTGGTTTGCTTATTGAGGCTTGGGAAGCAAAATCCAGATAGGTTATGGTGGGGACAAATTGTGATTGAAAACCCCCTTCCACCTGAAGTCTGGATAATTAATACAATGTTAAACAAAAATCTGCACACCAGTAAAGCATTAATACTATACTATATATATATATATATATATATATATATAGTAACAAACCATCTCTTTTACAGGTGGGATTGTCACAGATCTTGCAGTAACCACAGCCTTCTAGGGTATACAAAGTCCAGGACACATTCAGCTCGGTTTTCCTTTTTATTTGATAAAAAAAAGCAGGTGCTTTAAATAATAACAAACAAAATCCCTTGCTCTTACTTGAGCTCTTGCTAGACAGAAATTACTATCTGTAATTGGGTGGCTTTCCCACTTACCAATTTTCCCCCAAAAAATAAATGGATTTGCAATAAACACAATTGTTGTTCTCTCTCCTAGCTGGCTCTTTTTTTTTTTTTCCTCCCAGCAGGGCTAATCTCTTCTTTTAAAGGCCTGTCTGCTAATTGACTAGCTACAGGTGAGTGCCAATTAGTAAACCCTTAAGTCAGATCCAAATTCTGGTCTGTTACACAGCAACTAGTGCTGTTGGAGCACTGGCCCACCCTGCTCTCCAAATACTCCGCCCCAGGGACACATACCGTGTTTTGCAGAGCATCAGCTATGCATATTGCAAACTTTAACATCTCTCCCTGGGGCATTTAACTGAAAATTCTCTGGTTGCTGTTTAGCAAATCAGGCCTGATGTATCTTCCATCAACCACTATTCCACTTTTACACTCACAATATATATATTAATATTAAAATACACGTAGACAGTGTATGTGTATTTATGTGGCAAGTGGTGTCCCTCAGGGGTCTGTTCTGGGACCCCTTCTATTTAACATGTTTATAAATGATCTTGAAGACCGCATTGAAAGTCATGTTTCAGTGTTTGCAGATGACACAAAACTTTGTAAAACAATACAATGTGATATTACTTTGCTGCAGAGGGATTTAGATAGACTGGGGGACTGGGCACTCAAATGGCAGATGAAATTTAATGTTGAAAAATGCAAAGTTATGCACTTCGGCATAAAGAATACACAAGCAACGTATACCCTTAATGGAAGCGAATTAGGGATAACAACACATGAAAAGGACTTGGGAATTGTTATAGACAACAAACTATGCAACAATGTGCAATGTCAATCAGCAGTGGCCAAGGCCAGTAAGGTATTGTCATGCATGAAAAAGGGCATTCACTCTCGGGACAAGAATATCATTTTGCCTCTTTATAAATCACTGGTAAGACCCCATATTGAATATGCTGTGCAATTTTGGGCACCTGTTCTAAAGAAGGATATTATGGCACTAGAAAAAGTGCAGAGGCGGGCTACAAAATTAATAAAAGGAATGGAACATATCGGCTATGAAGAAAGGTTAACAAATTTAATCCTATTTAGTTTAGAAAAACGTCGCCTGAGAGGGGATATGATAACATTATACAAATATATTCGGGGCCAATACAAACCATTGTGTGGAAATCTATTCACAAACCAGACTTTACATAGGACATGAGGCCATGCGTTTAGACTGGAAGAAAGAAGATTTCATGTCTAAGGCAAAGGAAAGGTTTTTTTACTGTAAGAACAATCAGGATGTGGAATTCTCTGCCTGAAGAAGTGGTTTTATCAGAGTCCATACAGATGTTCAAACGGCTACTAGATGCATACTTGCAAGAACAGAATATTCAAGGATATAATCTTTCAATGTAGGGTAATAACTGCTTGATCCAAGGATAAATCTGACTGCCATTCTGGGGTCAAGAAGGATTTTTTTTCCTAGCTTGTTGCAAAATTGTGCTTCAAACTGGGTTTTTGTGCCTTCTTTTGGATCAACAGCAAAAAACAAATGTGAGGTAAGCTGAACTTGATGGACGCAAGTCTCTTTTCAGCTATGTAACTATGTAACTATGTGTATGTATGTGTATATATAATTTAATTTTACACTGTTTTAACATTTATTTAAAAAAAAAATTCAGACAGCAGGGGCAGTACCTGTCATTACAGGCACTCCCCCTGCTGGCATTGCAATGG